TTTTCAAATAACCAGCTTTTGGTTTCATTGATCTTTTGGACATTTTCATTTTTATTTATTTCTGCTTTAATTTTAACATTTTCTTTCTTTTCTTGATACTATGTTGTTCTTTTTTTTTTTAGTTCCTTAGGATGGGAGAAAATATGTTTTCTTTGGGCTTTTTCTTGTTTCTTTATGTGGATCTTTATTGACACATACTTTCCACTTAATACAAAATGGAACACAGTGTCCTCATCAGCTGTCTCAAAGTATTTTTTTTTTTTTTATTTCCTCACTTACCCATTGGTCTTTCAGTAGCACACTGTTCAGTCTTTATGTGAATAGGAATCTTGCTTTTTTTGGTGGTTGATTTCTAGTTTAATACATTTCGGTCAGAGAAGATACTTGGTATGTTTAAAATCTTCATATACTAATTGATGTTTGTCTTGTGACCCATAATCATTATCTTGGAGAATGATTTATGTGCACTTTAGAAAATATGTACTTGATTTTTTTGAGGTTTCAAGGCCTTGTAAACCCATGTAATCTAGGTCTTCATTTAGAGCTATTGTGTCTTTAATTTCTATCTTGTTGATCTGTCTTTTCATGAGAGTAGGGTGCTTTATTCTCTTACCACATAGGCATTTACACCAACGTCCATTTTCATGTATGATAGTAATTGTTTAATGTATTTTGGTGCTCCCTCATTTGTTGAGTATATACATTGGTATTATGTCTTCCTGGTGTATTATCCCCTTTATCATTATGTAGTAACATCCAAGTCTTTTGATGTCTTTTTCAGCTAAAGTATATTTTATAAGTATAGCTGTCTTTGCCTTCCTTTTAGCACCAGTTGCTTGGAGAATTGTTTTTGGACCCTTCATTTTAAATCTTTATCTCTGGATAAAGTGTGTTTCTTGGAGGCAGCAAAAGTTGGCTTCTGGACTGTCTTTTTCCTTTTTTTTTTTTTTTTTTTAAGATTTATTTGTTTTATTCATCTGGAACTGGGGTACAGGCCAGAGATGCAGAGGGTGAGAGGATTCATGTAAGAACTTGATGCCTGAGAGTAGACCAA